TAAACATAATTGAAAACATGAGATTACATAAAATTCCCATAACACGATATGAGTTTCATACTATAATCACATTTTTTCTAAAATCTCGTCATAATTATTATAATAATAAGAAATATAATTATTATAATTATAGAGATTTTAATAATAGAAATATTAATAATAATAATAGAGATAATAATAATAATAATAATAATAATAATAGAGATATTGAAGATAGAAATATTAATAATGGTAATAACAATAACAATAATGATAATAATAATAATAGTAACATTTATAATTATAATGTAATAAAAGTATTAAAAATGTTTTATAGCATGAAACGATTATCAAATTTCAAACCCACCCAAGTAACTTATAATATATTACTTAATGTAGCGATCAAAGCATCAAATTTTCAAATAGCCAATTTATTAATTCAAGATATGACTCAACAAGGCTTTGGAATAAATGTGAAAATATTTACCACCTTGATTCATAAATTTGCATTAAATAAAGATTTAATTAACATGGAGAAAACTTTAGAAGTAATGACCAGAAAAGGGATTAAACCTGATTCCCTTACTTGGAATACAATCATTTGGGCTTATTTACATTTGGGAAAATTGAATTCTGGAATGATTATTTATTCTAAAATGATTTCTCTGCCGAAAGAATTAAAACAACAACAAAGATCAAGCGAATCAAGTGCATTGATTGAATTACAGGAATCAAGAGAATTACAAGAATCCCAACAACAATTAAATGAATTCCAAGAATTCCAACAATTAAATGAATTACAAGAGTCACAAGGATCAAGAGAATTAAGAGTAAAATTTGATAACAAAAGAAAATTAAAAGAAATAATAATAGAATGTTTACCTACACTTTCTACATATCATTCCCTTTTATCAGCTAATATAATAGAACAAAATTGGGAAAATTTTAGAAAGGTTTATAATGATATGAAAATATTTAATGTACAACCAACAATTGACAGTTATAACCTTATCTTTTGTAGATTTGTTTCTATATTAAAAATTGATAATAGTGGTGGTGATAATAACAAAAATAATAATAATGGTGGTGATAATAATAACAAAAATGAAAATAATGATAATAACAATAATAATAATAATGGTGGTGATAATAATAACAAAAATGAAAATAATAATAATCGCATTAATAATAATCACGTTAATAACAATAATAATGAAATCATAAACATAATAGAACAAATATTTAATGATATGAAAAAGGTCGAGAACA